GGAGGGGAGCCGACTCCGGATGAAACCACCTCAGTTCGATGGGAAAACTTCTTGGACAAATTACATCCGTCAGTTTGAGGCAGCAGCAAAAGCAAATGGCTGGCTACCAGAAGAGAAGGCTACAGCATTGACTCTGGCTTTACGCGGAGATGCAACGGACATTTTGCAGACGCTTTCTCTCAACGAACAAGAAGATTACGAAGCGTTGGTTAAACATCTGGAATTGCGATATGGCCAGACACATCTGGAACATGTGTACCATTCCCAACTAAAGAATCGCTGCCAGAAATCTAACGAGACTTTACAAGAATTTGAGGCTGATATTGCACGCTTGGTGCGGCTAGCATATCCAGCTACTCCAACGACCGTTATGGAACGATTAGCAGTTCAAGCCTTTTTGGATGGACTTCGGGATAACGAAACAAGACAGGCTCTAACACTGGCCCGTCCGAGCCAACTGGTTGATGCATTGGCTCGAGCTTTGGAATTCGAGGCGGCAAAGCAGAGCTGCAGGAGCCAGCCTAGAATAAGGAGAGTCGAAGAAGAAAAGGAGGAGGAACCTAGTATAATTGAAGCAATCAGACGAGTCCTTAAAGAGAATCTACCAGATAAGAAGGAAATCCGGTGTTGGAGATGTGGAAAGCTAGGACATATACGAAGTCGTTGTAAAAGAAGCCAGGTGGAGCCGACTTCGTCTCAGTCGGAAAACTAGGTAGGGTCGAGGAAAAGGGGGCACCTTCGACCTGTAACCAGCATGCCCCAGAAGATATTGAACGTATTGCATCTCTTCTACACCAGTCAAGCAGTGTTTTTGTGGATGGTTTAATTAATGGAAAATTACATGTGCTGCTGCTGGATACAGGTGCGACGAAGACAATTATTAGGCCAGATATTGTCGAAATGTCCAAGATCAAACCTACCAATCGGCGACTACGTACTGCAACAGGAGATACTGCTACTGTTCGTGGAGAAGTGGACATCACGATGGTCATAGGAAATACGAAATTTAAACATCGATCATTAGTTGCAGATATTGAAGATGAAGTTATTGTAGGCATGGACATTATGAACTCTATAGGATTTGAACTAAACTTTAAACAAGGAATATTGAGAGTAAATGGAGAAGAAGTCGTGTTGCATCGATCGAAAGAAAAGAATATTCGTGTAATGTTAACAGAAGATGCTTTGATACCGAAACAAAGCGAGATGATATTGAAGGCTTTCTTGGATTGTAAATCAGAAGATGGAAGTATAATGCTTCTGGAGCCGAGAATTGATGACAAAGAGGTCGGTCGAGGAATTGTAGTAGGGAAGACTTTAATACGTGTCGGAAAAGAAGTGCCTGTTAGAGTATTGAATGTTAATGGTTACTCTGTGAACTTGAAGAAAGGAATCGTTTTGGGGAACTGTTCTTCGGTTTCCTCGATTATTAGAGGCATTCGTGAATCTACAGTCCCGGCCAAGAAAGTGAGCAATGAATTGATGAATCTTCTGTCGACTTCTTCAAAGGATTTGAAGCCCAATGAAAGAATAAAGCTAAGAGAGCTGATACACAATTATCAGGATGTTTTTGACGACGGACAAGGAAAGAAGGGTAGAACAAAAACTGTCCAGCATAAAATTAACACCGGTGATGCGCAGCCCATTCGACAGTCGGCAAGAAGGCTACCTCTTGCTAAGCGAGAGGAAGCTGATAAAATAGTGCAAGAAATGGAGAAGGAAGGGGTGATCGAACCATCCAACAGCCCATGGTCTTCACCAGTGGTGTTAGTTAAGAAAAAGGATGGATCAACTTGATTTTGCGTCGATTTTCGTCAGCTGAACAACGTGACGAAGAAGGACAGCTACCCTCTACCTAGGATCGATGACACCCTGGACACATTGGCTGGTTCGCAGATATTTTCAACTTTGGATTTAAAGAGCGGTTATTGGCAAGTTGAAATGGCACCAGAAGATAGAGAAAAGACGGCGTTTACCGTGGGTGCTGGACTGTGGCAGTTTACAGTCATGCCGTTTGGACTATGTAATGCCCCTGCAACTTTTGAAAGGCTCATGGAAATGGTTTTGAAGGGACTATCCTGGAAGACATGCTTGGTGTACCTTGACGACATCATTGTGGTTGGTAAATCATTTGAGGACCATATGAAGAACCTGAAGGAAGTCTTTCAGCGCTTAAGAAGTTCCGGCCTGAAGCTAAGCCCGAAGAAATGTCACTTGTTCCAGAGGGAAGTGCAGTATTTGAGCCATGTTGTTTCGAGTCAAGGAGTGGCAGTGGACAAACAGAAGGTGAAGACGGTGCGAGAATGGCCAGTACCGAAGAATAAACATGACTTAAGAAGCTTTCTTAGATTATGCACCTACTACCGTCGGTACGTACCAGGATTCGCAAAGGTTGCTAAGCCTTTGACACGTTTAACAGAGGGAGAAAGACGATTCCAATGGGACGACGAATGCCAAGAAGCCTTTAAGAACCTGAAAAACGCGTTGACCAGCTCACCAGTCCTGAGTTATCCACTTCTAGATGGTGAATTTATTTTGGACACGGACGCCAGCAATGTGGGCCTGGGAGGTGTTTTGTCGCAGATTCAAGAAGGAAAAGAGAGTTATTGGATTCTTCAGTAAAACTCTATCGAAACCAGAGCGAAATTACTGTGTTACTCGACGCGAGCTGTTGGCAGTGGTAAAGGCAGTCGAACACTTTTACAAGTACCTGTATGGAAGAAAATTCTTGCTAAGAACGGATCATGCTGCCCTTAAATGGCTTTTGCAATTTAAGAATCCTGAAGGACAGGTAGCAAGATGGATTGAAAGACCATGCAGACTTCTTGGGAAGGACCATACGAAGTCATGGATCGCATAAATGACATCATCTACAGGATCAGGAAACAACCAAGAGGAAAGCCGAAAGTGATCCATTTCAACCGATTGGCTCCTTACGCTGGAAACAATGATCAAATAGACGATGCTAGAGTAAGGAGGGTTAATCCGCCGGAAGACGAGTTGCCTTTTGAAGATTTCATGTATTTATATTCGAGCGGTAAAAAAGCTCGGTATAGTGTCACTCGAGAAGAACAAAAAGATCTGTTCACGGTTTCGGCCGATTACTCCTTGGCTCACTGTGTTGCGAAAGACCTTAGGATGTCCAGGGGAATAGCGGTTGTCTTTAAAAACAAGTTTGGACGGATCGACAAGCTACGAAGGCAGAATCCCAAAGTTGGAGAGGTGCTTGAAATTGTGGATAATGAGCAGATAGGCAATAGAAGTATCTTATATCTGGTAACGAAGCAACTCTCCTATCAGAAGCCAAACTACCGTGACCTATGGAATGCCTTAAATAAATTAAGGGATACCCTCTTGTCCAAGGACATCATGAACCTGGCGATACCGAAGATTGCTTGTGGACTTGACGGTTTAGACTGGAGAATAATTAGAAGCATGGTGGAAGTTATCTTCAGATTTAGTGGCATACACATTCTTGTCTGTTGCCACAACCCTAAAAGAACAACCGGAAGGAAGACCGTAGACTGCTACTTCTATAGGACGTCACAATGCAAGTTTGGATCTCTATGCAAATATCGCCATGGAGCTGAGGACCATTTTCGGGACGAAAATGTTTTAAGACGGGGGCAATGTAGCGAGGACGGCTCTGGATCTCGGAATGATAACTCATCGCCGATGAGTCATCGCCGGTGACTCAGCGCTCGAACAATCGAGAGTGTGGAGCTCGCTGGAATGTTCCAGAACACTTGGGCGCTGAATATATAAGAAACGAAGCAGCATAAAGCAGTCAGTTAAGTTTTAGTACTCGCGTCGAAATAAATAAATATAAGTGCAAATAAATAGACTCTTGAACAGTAGTGATATATAAATAATTAGTAGTTAAGTGTTTAGTTAGTTTTATAGTGTTTTAAGTGTAGTTAAGTTATTAAAAATAAATAGTTTAGTTCGTTAATTAACCAGTGCGTGTTTTAATTCACACTACGAACAGTTAAAAACGTTACAATATATCCGCTAAGTTTATAGATTTTTTTATTCTTTTTTATTACCACATATTTCAACAGGGCGTGCTTATATTTCAAGCTATAAAACTCATGTTTAACAGTAAAATTTAATTCGTGTTAATTTTATGTCTTTGGATAACCTATTAATAGGTAAAATTTTACTTAATTATATAGTGGAGGTATATATACCTCCACGTTATAGTAACGTAATCACAACGTGGTAATAACGTGTCTGTATACAATTCAAAAACGTTGTTGGAACGATACTGACACTAAAAAAGTGTTCCCCATTTTAGTCACTTCCACGTAATAGAAGATTTTGGCAATATACTTTACAGTTCCAAGTATAAGTGGCCAACACGTTTTGAGGTAGTTAGTGAGGATGATGAGGAAATTGGCGAATTCCCAAATAATATTCAACTTCGTGTGCACAGGCCACGGGTAAGACCGAATCATTTTACAAGGTGGAATAATGATGAATTTTTTGCCAGATTTCGGTTTTCCAAACCTTTTGTACGCAGGATAGTGGATTTAATAGGTTAGTTATAAAAATAATTACTGATAGGTAATAGATTTTAGTAAAATTCATCATTTGTAACAAAAAAACGACAAATGCATTTAATACTATAAAACGAAATACATACCAATAATTCGATCGAAGAGATAAAGTTGGCAGCACGACTTTTATCCATAATAAATAGGTAATAATTATTGTTTTTTAACAATAGTAAATTGTTTTAAAGCACCCTTTCGCACAGATTAGAACTTTTTAAAACAGCACAGATAAACACAGAACATAAGCAGATAAACAAAACTTCATAAGTAAACACAAAATCCTTTTGTCAAAATGACAGCTTTAACTACTATTAATGTAGGCGTATACTAAATTCGGTTGTACCAATTTAACGCTGACACCGCTAATCTAAGTTCAACTGTTGAATCGACATTGAAAAATCATTTGACTGTGAACTGATCTAAACAAGATTTAAACCCTAATTGAAAAACCGACCCTAAATAAGTACGTACTATACTTTTATAATAGAAATATTACTAATACTAATTATTTCTATGGTGGCAACAGTGTTGCCGCAACACTGACAAAACATTATCCTAATGTTTGCTGCACTGATTTTAACCTTAAAAAACCCATGTTTACAAAATTTTACAGAAGTTTAAAAAAATGAGTGATGATTTTATACCAACTCGTGCATCTTTGGCTAAGAAAAATGCTTGTAAAGAAGTTGAGGTCGTAACCTTCGAATCATATAAACCGAAAGAAAAAAAAGAAAATGATAAGAAATATGCCATTTATGAGGATGATTTTAATGGTGAAGAATTTAATATTAAACAGGCAAAACATGAAGTTATGCAGTTTGGAATGTCTGGATTTACCAGTAAAAGAAAAGAAGCAGCTAAACTTCAGTTAGCAATAAAATTGGGTAAGCCATATTCAGGGTGTTTCATCAAGATAAAAAATCTCGATAGGTAAATAGGTACCTAATATATAAGCCAACTGAACACAGCTAGGTAAAGGAATCAAACAGTTTTTATGCTGCATATGCAATATTGTATTAATACAATATTAATAAAACTTTTTAACATTACACACATTACATTTAAAGTTTATTATTATAATTATTAATTATTATTGTAAATATATACAGGGTGTCCTAGAATATGTGGGCAATCTCCAAGATTCAAATAGAACGCATAAAAATAATATGACAACTTCCTATAATTTTTTTTCTTATGGCCCCCTCTATGGAGATACAGTTCCATAATGGACAGTGTCCATTGGACACCCCTGGAAATCGTTTGTTTTTAAATAAATTTTGAACTACTAGGTGGAATTTAATAATTTTTTAATATATTGTTTACTAGGAAAGTTTCCTTAAATCCTTTTAATCACATTCGGCTTACTTAGTTTGTCAGGGACAGTAGGTAATGCTATTTTTTTTTACACCCTGTACTATAAAGGCACAACAATAATATTTTTATTCAGCTTAAACCTTAAACTAAAAAAAAGTTACTCTTGATCAACATTGATAAAATGTACTGTTTGCAAAAAAAAATGTTTTTGTACAATAGGGTTTTTTGAATTAATTTTTATCTTTTTTGCAATGTTTTTTTTACATTTACCGGTTTAAATAATGATGTCAGTGTCAGTTGAAAATAGAGTGTTTTGAAATGTTCGATCTTTTTTCTTCATTCCAGGGACGTCCATTAAGGGCCAGTATCTCTGTAGGTGGGGCAGTAGAAAAAAAAATGTATAGAAAGTTGTTATATTATTTTTTTGTGTTCTATCTGAATCTGGGAGATTGACCACATATTCTGGGACACCCGAAATTACTGCACAATAAATTAACAGCAGATTCTGCATGCAAAAATTAAGAAAAAAAGGCCCTATAAATATAGGTCGACAAATGTCTACTAATTGAGCTACAGCCCCCGAAAATGGAGCCCCTGAATATGGATTTTAACTAATATTTATAAAAAAGTAGAAAGACCCTGTCACTTACTACATGAAACTGTCACCTGTCTTGAATTATTCTATTTTTTCCCAAACATGGCAGCTGTATTCCAAGGACCACACGAGTCCATTTCTATGGTTGTGATTTAATTATGAATTTTTATGCCATGTAAAATAATTTTCAAATCGATTTTAAGCGAAAACGGTTTATGTTATGATAACATTGATTGTAGTTTTCCGGTAATTTTCATTTGATTTTTCTCAGTGGTAATTTACCGGAAATTTTACGGTTATTTTGGAAATATTTCAGAAAACTAATAATTATACCATGTGGATGGACATTATATAATGTATACATTTTGGGATTATATATTTTTAGTATTTTTTACATACTTAAACCATTTATTATATTATTGTTTGTTATAAAAGGAAACCTACATAAAAATATAATATTTAAACAAATAATATTTATTCAAAAATAATAAAAATATATTGTTCTGATTTAGTGCTATACACCAAGTAATAAAGTAAGTACCTACTTGTAAAGAACAAAAAGTATATTTAAAAATTTAAATATTTTCTTCCTCCTCAGAATCTATATTTTAAAGTTAATACTTCCCTTGATTGGCCAAACACGTCTAAATCGCAATAGGGCAGTTACCTGCCAGAAAACAATGCAACTAGGTGAAGAAAATGAATAAATCCAAGAGCGTTATAGATTCAGGGCTACATGGAGAAATCATTTTTGAAAATTACCGGTAAAGAAATTTGCCGGGTTAAATTACCAAAATTACCGTTACCGCGGTAACGTTACCGCACTTTAATCACTAATGTTATCAAAGTTCAACAAGATGACCTTTTTTATGTGCAAAACTCCAAAATTTCATAATCTGACATCAAATTCTGGTACAAGATACGTACAAAAAAGGTAAGGTGGTTTTAACCCCACTCCCTATCAATCTGACCCAAACCTCATGAAATTTTTTAAATTGTTATTGTTATGTCTTATTGGTCATAAAAAGTTTTATTAATTCCCCAAATTTCACTTTTCTATCTTTAACGGTTTTGGAGATGTAAATAAATAAAAAAATAATAAAAATAAATAAAAACCATCTTCAGGGGCTGTAGCTTCCTTAAGAGGCATTTCTTGATCTATGTTTATAGGGATTTTTTTCTTATTTTTGCACGTAAAATCTGCTGTTAAAGTATGGTGCACTAATTTCAGGACACCCTGTATATATATATATATAGGTATATATATATATAAGGGAACGTACCGAAAGTAATTTGAAACACATATTTAAAAATTCAAATTGTCCAACGCAAAGGATAAGGGAGATAAGAAACGATAGCCAATCCCAATAGATCACCACAGGGAATTCTTTAAATTGCTAGGATACTTAGGTTGCATTGTTGATAATAAAAAATATGTAAAATATTTGGTCCACTGGAATCCAATTCATTGTAACACTGCTGTCAATCTTTACTTCTGTCATTAATATTATATTAGGTTATAAATTAAGTTATTATTGACAATGTTGTCAATCTTTACTTTTGTCATTAATATTATATTAGGTAATAAATTAAGTTATTATAAATGATGTTTTCCTTGATGATTATTCCGAAATGATAACTATTTATGGGGAGCGTGGGCGCAAAAAAAGCTAAATAAAGTACAACTGGTTTGATTTTTTACTTTAAAACATTGGCGTTCTGAAGTATCAGTCATAGATTAATAACCTTATTTTTTGAAAGCTTTTGACAACTTAGTAAATACAGTTGGCCAAAAGATTTTTAAATGTTTTTAATACAACAATGTTCTATCGTCTCCTAGCAATTTTTAAAGCTCCTACGTTTAACCTAGGCGAGATCTCTCGGTATTGGCTGCCGCTTTTTTGCTCTCATTCGATTACACTATTACCTAGAAATTTTTTATTTTTAAATTTGGCATCTCCATTGCTATCGGCACGCCCCCTTTTTCTCTGTGGCGCGAGTTCTGGGACACCCTGTATATGTATCTGAGAATAGGCGCACCCCTGTAACTTTTTTATTTATGAAGATAGACACATGAAATTTAGCATGGTTAGTTAGGATATAAAATGCCACTTATAAGAGTACAAAATGAATTTTTTGAACTTCCGGTTTCGCCGGAAATAATATCAACTTACGATTTTTAAATGGAACGCCCTATATATTTTTACATATTTAGAATCCTGAGAAAATTCTGAGTCGGACAGCATCCTCAAATTGACCTTTAGACGTTTCGTCGTCAAAAAATGCATCATAAAGATCAATCTAGAGTGCTTTGAACTATTTGATAAAAACGAATTTTCACAAGTTTAGACTGCTGGGAATAGCTGAATAATAACTTTCTAAGGCAAGTTTCATTTTCAGGCATTGTGCGAATTCATTAGAAGAAAATAAGATAGTTCAAAGCACTCTAGATTAGTGATGGGTCGTGATTTTGATAACGTGATTTTGGAACGTTATTTTTAAATCACGATCCGGAACGTTCCTAAATATATCGGAACGATGTGACAGCGGATCGAACTGAATAGAAACAGAGAATCCGACCATCGAATGAGTGAACGGAGCGAGTGGGAAGGGAACGACGTGAAACATGGAACAGAACGAACGTCGCTAACGTCGGAACTGTTTAAAGGCGCAGTTACCTCGTTTCGTTTCTTGTTCGACTTGAGCTGAACTTTTTCGGTGGATATAACCAATATAACGAGGCGGGTGGAATCGTTCCGCTGGAACGGTGCATAAAAAATTAAGTTTGTTAGGTAGGGTAGATGGAATCCAATATACCTAATATTGTACAATTATTAAACTATAATACCAAAAGTTACTAAGAAGGTTTTTTCTTACTAGAGAATCTTTATTAGAGATAGACAAAACATTCAAGGAATCAACAGGTTTTTGTGTATTAAAGGGGTCCCTAGACGTTTAAAAATATTATGCTCAATATTACTGCACAAAAAATTGATTATTGTCCCTAGGCAATCAGACAATTTAAATAAATTAGGCAATATTGTAAACACATTGTTAACTAAATTGCTTAATACAACATATTGTGCAATAATATTGATAGTGTAGGGACCTCCTTAAACCTTAAAGTGTATAGCAAAAGTTACAATATTTAATTTTGGTATTAAATTTGTTATGGTGCGGTCAACAGAACTGAGAGGCGCGCCAGACAAAATGTAGCCCAGCAACTTCGTGCCGTGGATTCCACTCGCATGTATTGTGAAATCATTTACCCTACGTTCCGAAATCACGTGATTTTGGTACGTGATTTTTTAGGAACGGAACGGTTTGGTACGTTCCGGATTGGGAACCGTTTTTTCCATCACTACTCTAGATTGATCTTTATGTTGACAAAACGTCAGAAGGTCATTTGAGGATGCTGTCTGACTCAGAATTTCTTCAGAATTCCAAATATGTAAAAATATATAGGGCATTCCATTTAAAAATCGAAAGTTGGTATCATTTCCGGCGAAACCGGAAGTACAAAAAATTCATTTTGTACTCTTATGAGTGGCATTTTATATCCTTATTAACCGTGATAAATTTCATGTATCTATCTTAATAAATAAAGAAGTTACAGGGGTGTGCCTATTCTCAGATACACCCGGTATATACAAGTGTCCCATAATTAGCGTGCAATACAGCAGATTCTACGTACAGAAGAAAAAAAGTTCCTATAAACATAGGCCGAGAAATACTTTCTAAGGGAACTTCAGCCCCTAAGATAGAAAAGTAAAATTTTGGGAATTAATCAAACATTTTATGGCCAATAAAATTTAATAATAATAATTCAAAATTTCCATGAGGGGTTGGTTAGATAGATAGGGAATAGGGGGTTTTAACCCTAACTTTTTTTTACGTGTCTCTTGCTAGGATTTGATGTCAGAATATAAAATTTCGGAGTTTTACACACAAAAAAGGTCCTCTTGTTAAACTTTGATATTATCCACTGTTTTCGGTTAAAATCCATTTTAAAATTACCTTACAGCATAAAAGATCATAATGAATTCACAAGAGAGAAATATTCAGCGAAGGCCAAGGAACACAGCTGCCATCTTTAGGAAAAATTATTTAAGACAAGTAACAGTTTTATGTAATATGTGACAGGGTGTTTAAAAATTGTCCATGGCCTACGCTGAATCTTTTTCTCTAGTTGTGATTTCATTATGAATTTTTATGCTATGTAAGGTAATTTTTAAATCGATTTTAAGCGAAAACGGTGCATGCCATGGAAGTTCATCAAAAGGACATTTTTTGTGTGTAAAACTCTGAAATGTTATTATCTGATATCAAATCATAGCACAAGATACGTACAAAAAAAATAGGGTAGTTATACCCCCACTCCTTATCTATCTGACCCACCCCTTATGAAAATTTTGAATTTGTTATAATTCCAACTTATTGGCCATAAAAACTTTGATTATATCCCAAAATTTCACTTTTCTATCTTAAACGGTTCTGGAGATAATAAATAAAAACCATCTTCAGGGGCTCCTCTTTCGGGGGCTGTAGCTCCCTTGAAAAGCATTTCTCGACCTATTTTTATAGGAACTTTTTTCTTACTTTTGTAAGTAGAATCTGTTGTTAAAGTATTGCACGCTAATTATGGGACACCCTGTATATATTGGTTGCAATAATATTAAAATGTAGTTATCCAAATTAAATGTGCCATCCAAGGATACTTGAGAGAATAGTCAACTCTGTTGAAAAAGAGTGCCATATTTTAATAGACGCGCAGTTGTGGGCGGTGCTTTCTCGTGACATAATTTCTTTCCAATAGCTGTGTTCTAGTAACCACAAAGATCAACTGAGCTTAAACTACGCCCACAACTCAAGTTTTTGTATAGCCTATACAGTACCTATATGCCAAGCAAAGTTATTTGTGGCCATAGAAAAACCATTGACTAAAAAATCTTCACTCAACGGAAAAACCATGTTTTCTCTATGTTTGTGGCCAAGTATAGAAGTGTCAAATGGACACGCGCAATAGTCAAATCTCGACCAAGTTTTTGGAACAAACCTAATATGTAAGAATATAAGCAACAAACCTAATATGTATAAGCTTATAAGCGCTTTTTAAATTCCAAATTTTAAATGGTAGAGTAAATGAGGTAGTAAAACAATAAACCAGTTAAAAAAATGTTAAACAAATAAAAATGTAATACTAAATTTCAGGTGCAAAGCCTCCAAAAAGTAAATACAAGAATTACAAGGAATTATTAGTAGAAAAGAAAAGAGAGAAAAATAGGGAAAGTAAAGTTAACAAATTCCAACAGCTTGGTAAAAATAGTGTGGGAAAGTCTATAGCCAAAGGAAAGAGTTTTGATCGCAAGAGAAAGAAAGGAAAAGATGGAATATTGGATATTTATGGAAAAGTAACAAAGGTACCTAGATTTTTGTAATGATACTTGGTACAATACCTATTTATTAAATATATTTTTAGGTGTCCAAGAAAAACTGATATTATAGTTGCATTATTATAATAAATAAATTTTATTTTTAATTTGATTAATTATTTGATTTCCTGCCCCTTTTCTGTAACAAGTAAAATTTAAATCATGCATTGCCATTTCCAGCAAAACATAAAAATAATATTTATCTTGAAACTGCAATTTACTATGGTAAAGGCAATTTAAAGAAAAATAATAAAAACAATAAGTAGAATTGAATTTTTCGAATTGAAGCCATATGGAAAAAAATATAATCTCTGATATATAATATATCACCGAGTACGAAACTTATAGATTTAACACCGGGTGTTAAGCCCGCTGCACAATAACCCGGGAACGGGAATCTTAACATTAAAGGTGGGAGAGACTAAAAAACCACTGTTCGCTGAGTCTCTCCCACCTTTACCGTTTACGTTCCCGTTACCGGGCTATTGTGCAGCGGGCTTAATATCTAACGGTTCAACTTCTCGACCTGTCGCAACTGATCTAGCTTGTTCTAAAATAGAACATGTTTTGTAGGGATTTACGAATTTTCACTAAATATTTTGGTTTGGTATCTTGTGATTTGCGTTTATAATAGGTGTTTTCGCGATGCTAATCCCGAACTAGTTCCGACATCCTAAACATTTTAATATTTGTCATGCGCACTTTACATTTTGAACCCCAAATTTTAAAAAGCGCATGCTTGGGATGTCCGGAATTAGTTCGGGATTAGCTCCGCGAAAATAGCTAATCTATGCGTTTTTTAATATACATGCCTGTAAAAATAAACCAAACAGGCTCATGGGGTTTTTACACCACAAAATACAACGAAAAATTTTTCAACTTGGTAATTTTCGGTTAAGTTGGCAATTCTAGTAGATTTGGTTGCCAAACCTGTGTTGGTTGCATCGTGTGAACACCCCAGAGGCGAGAAAGTCGCTGCAACTGGTCGCCGCAACAAAGTCTCCGCGAAAAGTTGCACCGTCAGACATGGACTTTATTTAAACCAGGGACCCGGACCCAAATAAAATAATTATTTAATAATGAAATAAATATTATATAATAAACGGAAATACTTATATATGTTAACTTAATTTAAAATGAAGCTACACATTAAATGTTGCATGACATATATTTCGAACTAAACAGGAACAATTTATAATCAATCAATCTACGCTCTCGCCGAACGTCTAATATTGAATGCCCTCGCCATTCCCTCGCTCCGTATGTTCAGCGACAAACACCTACGCTTTGTAGCAAGGGACTTCTCCGATTTCAAGGAATAGACCACCAAAACTGAATACGTTAACACGGCCTTTCCTGACCACCGGTTGTCCTCAACCAGGCTGAAGCAACTCATAGATTCCTTCTGTAATTAAAGTATGATTAAGTATATTTAATATAAAAATAAACAAAACAACATAAACAAAACAAAACAGGTATTTTATAAAAGAAATAAAAGATAAGGGGCCCCATGTTTATAGTTATTTAAAGTGGAAGTCAGAAGCACAGTACCGACCAGCTAAATACCTGCAACCTCACGATACTGAAGTTCCTCCAGGTATTTTCTGCATTGTACCCCAAGATAGAACTTGCCGTGCTCTTCCACCGGAATGCATTCCTTAACCTTTCTTCTGGACCGAAGAAAGCCAGGCAATAAGCCTGCCAGGCAACAAGCCTGCCAGGCAACAAGCCTGCCAGGCAACAAGCCTGCCGTTACCTTTAGTAACGAATCCAGGGACGCATATTGTCCACTGCAGCCACACCACAATACTTACGCCTGGAACGAACAGTTCCCGGAATGTCCTGTACTTCGAACCGATCGTTATCCAAAACCTGGCTAACCCTAAAAGGTCCTCGCCATTTTGGCAATAACTTGCGACTAGTACCAGTGGTGGCCAGACTTGTTATCCTAATTAGCACCAAATCGCCAACCGCGTATTTCTTTGCAAAACATCGCTTTGCATCAAATTGACGTTTTTGTTGTTCCTGATATTCCTGCATGTTCTGAATAATTCTTTCTCGCAACTCCGTGACATCCACAACTTCCAGCTGTCCTTTGCAAACAACTCGGAAACCCATCAAAACTTCACTGGGTGCAGCACCAGTTGAATGTTGTCGATTTTGTGTCCCATTCATCATCATCAACATCGGATCCCATGGCAGCAAGCGATTTCAGGAGAGTTCGGTTGTAACGCTCCACCTGCTCGTTTGCCCTAGGTGGAACAGCAACAGCAGTCAAATGATGCTTTACTCCTATTGATGCCATGAACTCAGCAAAGGCTTTTGAAGTAAAAGCCTTACCCTGATCAGTTATTACCCTTCGTGATACACAAAAAATCTGAAACATATCTTTTAAGCATACAATTGCGTATTTAGAGGAAGTAACTTTTACGGGATAGATCATAATAAATTATTTGAAAGCGTCGACAACAACAAGAATTTGAGTTTTACCCGACTTGGTTATGACAAAAGGTCCCAAGTGGTCAATGTGGATCGTATGGAATGGATTTGGTTCTTTTGGTTCACCATTGTATAATTTGTATAAAATTGTAAACAATTTCCAGACTTACAATAAGTAATGTCTTGCTGTTCGGTAAAATTTTGTCCTATTAAAATGTCTACGCCCATGACACATTTGTCAACAACCAGCAAATCTATATATTTTAAAACATCATCGATTTTAATTTTTGCGTTTACATATGAACTAACCTTGACCGTAAAATCTCCCAACATCACCAGCGATATTTGTTTTCTTAGCTGAATCGGTGTTAAATTTAATGACCGAACCGCCGATTGAGTTACAAGAGAGGTTTCACTGCCGAAATCGATAAAACATTTTGTCGCATTATCGTTTAAATAAATATTTTTAAAGAATTTATTGTTTGCGGTGTTACCTATAAAATTAACGCGCCTACATTCTGTTGACAATTGTTTATTTTGATATTGGGGTTTGACACCAGCGAATCGTGATTTCCGCGGACAATTTCGTTTAACGTGACCTGTATTCCCACATAAAAAACAAGTAACATTTTTACCCAAACCCTTAGCTATGCCATTACTTGAAGAAGGAAACGATACTGAGTCTTGTTTTTGTTTTTTTTATTTGTGCATTTTTTTTACTCTCGTCTACAATACTAAAATGTTGTGCTAATGTATATGGGTCTTTAACACCCGCCGCTTCTACGGAGAATTTTATTTGGGTATCTTCAATTCCCCCCATTATTAAATTAACTTTGTCTTCTTCGTTTAAAGGAATTTTTAATTTATGAATAAACGTAAGTTTCTTAAAAGTATATTCGTATAAACTTTCACCCGGAACAGGAATACACCCCATCATGTCTTGTAAGGATTTATATAAGTTTCTTTTAGGTTTAAAATTTGTTAAAAGCATATCTTTCCATTCCGGCCACGTAAACATACGTGTGGGAAGACCCCGGTACCAAATTTCTGCTGGCCCTCTTAATTTACTAAGCGCCAAATAGCTTACTGTTTTATCGTCCCACTCATGCATAATAGCGTATTCATCAACTGAATTGACCCATTCGACAATATTGTTGGTCAGCGGATTAAACTTTTGAATAATGTTATTATTTAAAGACATACTTACATTACCTCCTCGTATACCTTTATTTACCAATTCTCCTATTCCACTAACTATGGCTTTACCCATGTTTTCCAAAGATGCCTGAACACTGGCAGACGCAGCTAGGGAAGATCCTTCTTCATAAGCACCTCGCTGGCGATGGCGACTTGAAGATCTGGATCTGGAGCGCCGTGATCTGGACTGTCCAGCAGTGTTGCCACTGTTAGTACTTTTGTACTAGATCTGGTCCTAAAATTGATTTTTTAGTACGTAAGTACGCTTTAGCAAAATCTAGTACTTTTTATAGTTGAATATATTCTCACAACAAAATTGGTTTAAACCACAAATGTGTGGTTTAAACGGACTTAAAACCAAAATAATTTTTAATCATTTTGGCAACAATGCAAACCCTTCGGGGTTTTCTATGAATGCAAACAACTGACTGACTTCATGTCAGTGACATGTTAGTAAAATTGCCCACAGATGGCAGCATAAAAATGTTCAATCACAATGGGTGCTTAGCAACCTTCTTTTCATGGGCTTTTTATATCTCACAGCCAGGGTTGGGTCAGTAGAAAACCTTAGGTAATTTACCTTGGTAGAAAAGGGTAGAAAAATTGTTTTCGACTTGCGTCGAAAACCTATAGGGTTTTCTACCTACGTAAATTACCTTATTCGACCTTCTCCTTCCACTTCTCTAAATTTGCCCTCATGCCAAAAATTATGTTGGGGTCTCCCAACCAAACGTGGCCCTTTTTTTCCCACCATAATAATGTTAAAAAACTCCAAATAACTTCAAATTTATGGTAGGTGTCTGATTTTTCACAACATTTAACAAATCATAATAAACAACAAACTTGCATAACCTCACATTTTTTGATATTTGACAGTATTCTACTTTTTTACGTTTTCTACCGTCGAAAACGTCGAAAAAGGTTTTCTACATGTCGAAAACAAAAATGTAGGTAGATACCCAACCCTGCTCACAGCCAGCGTTGCAGTCTGCTACTTGCAGTTTTTTAGAAGTTCTCAATCAGGACTGCCAACATAAATGCCTTTATCTACTCCTATTGCATAATTTTGGGATTTTGGGATTTCAATATTCACTGTGATTTTAACCAATCGGGTTTTAAATTGGGAGAAGGCGACTATAATGCACAAAACTAGAAGCCTTCTAGTTTTGTGCTATAATGACATTTAAAATTTGTAACAAGTGAGGTTAACCATTTGACAGATGTCAGATTTTATTTATTTAATTTTGAAAATCATTTAATTATTTACTTATTAGAGTAGATACAGTTTAGTATTACACTCGAGATTATGCGCAATATTCACTCGGATGATTTAGGTCTCTCGTCTGGCGACTCGAGACGTAAACCTCACCCTCGTGAATAATATAATTATCTCTCGTATAATAATATACTATTAGTTGTCTCTCTTATAGTTTTTTTTAATAAATGTGTTATTTATTTAATTAAAAGTGCAGTCATACAAATATTCGTAACACAAAACCAAATATATGAATTATTAGTGCTGCCATCTGTGGTCAATTTCACCCATATAGCATTTAGTACAATCTAGTACGAAATGACGGAGCCACCTAGTACGAAATAAAATGAACGAGTGGCAACACTGCTGTCCAGAGCTATGTTGGAGCCCCGCATCATACCTTTCCATCTGTCGGGACCTTTGATAGCCGTTATTAGCCGGCCATACACAGACGTTATTGCGCGCGGTTTATCGTGTTATCTGCAAAAACATATGGAAAATCATGTACGTGAGTGAGTATCGCCGCGCGCAATGATAGAACGGGAAGGGATTTCAGACGTGCTTTTCTCTGGAGTGTGGCGTGTCCACACGCCACATTCCGCGTCACGGTTTACCTTTGCTTGGCAAAATTTCACGTTGAAAATTTGTACATGAGCACATGTAGTTTCAAACAACTCGATAAATGACACTTTTTGCCCACTCACATACGATTTTTCCTTTGAAACTGATATACCACGGGCAATCACTTGCTAAATCATTTGAATACTTTATCAAGTGTATGGAACATGACGCTTTTTTTGCCACGCCGTTCTTTCGTGCATGCAAACCGCTACATGCCAACACGCCACGATAAACCGCGCGAAATAACGTCTGTGTATGGCCAGCTATTGTCATCGCCGTTGCTTCGGGGACAATGATTTCTCTCCTCACGTTCCACAGACCTTTCCCGTGAATAACGGCGAGGCATTGTTAGTTATTGGCACAAAAACTAAATAACACAATACTGGCGCACTGGATTACTTATCTCACTTCTGATGTTAACTTAATTTAAAATGAAGCTACACATTAAATGTTGCATGACATATATTTCGAACTAAACAGGAACAATTTATAATCAATCAATCTACGCTCTCGCCGAACGTCTAATATTGAATGCCCTCGCCATTCCCTCGCTCCGTATGTTCAGCGACAAACACCTACGCTTTGTAGCAAGGGACTTCTCCGATTTCAAGGAATAGACCACCAAAACTGAATACGTTAACATATATTATAACTCTTGAATTCCACGAGTATTTTTTACGAGTACCTACATTGAATTTGGTTTGTAATGAAAAATACTAGTAAAAAAGTACTCATAATTGAAATACGTAAAAAAGTACTCAGTACTTGGCCAGCAGTTTTAACACAGCAGGGGCGCTAACAATACTTGTGCTAGAGTGTATAATTTATAAATTAATTAATTAATTGCCCGTGCTCAAATATTTTTTTGCAAAAACTAATTTTAACGAAACAAAATATTTTTTTTTTAATTTTTGCAAAAAGAAATTAAGAAAAAAAACGATAATAACTTAAAAAACCGTTTTAAATTTAAAGGCTTCGGGTTCGGTTTCTAAAGTTACGTTTAAAAATAATATGGGTTGGGTTACGGTTCCGGTCCGCAAATAAATACCGGTTCCGGTCCGGTTTTCTGTCCAAAAACGGTCCGGCAAAGAACTGTTTACATTTTGTATGTCTATGGATGCCTCATCATTAATTTTCTTAAGTTGGTACCTTTCCGAAAACGTGCTAGAGGCCTAGTTGCCAAATCTTAGACAAATAAATTAAATACTTAAACGGCGTATTTTGATAAAGACATGCACTTTAATTAACATATAAATATTAAAAAAAAACAATATATGTATCACTTTAGTTTAAATTAAAAAGATTGGCGTGAATTCAAATATTTTATTTTTTTTTTAAACGGGCAACATCGCTTTTTTAAGACGCGCAGAAATTTTAATGGCGGATAGCGTGTTAAAGTTGTTTTGAGTTTTTCTGCCAAAATATACGAAGCAATTACTTATTTTTGTGCAACTGTGTTGTAGATACAATACTCAGCTTTTATTAAGCCGAAAAGGAAAAAAATTATATGTAAGCCATTTATTAATTAAATTTTAAAATGCGCATCAAATGTAAGGTTGTAAATATTTTTGTAGGAATAGCACGATGATGCCCATAGGGGGGCCTCAAACTGTTCATAATTCGGGAAGCATACCTCAAAGTACACCTCCTAATTCAAGCACATTGACACCTACAGGCTCCAATAAGTCTAGCAGCAGTTTAGTAAGTTTCACGAACATGTTACAATGCAACAAGATAAAAGCTTAAAAAGAAAGGAATGATATGCCATCAAAGTACTAATAAATATTATTTTAAAGTCACATTGTATCAAAATGTTGTTTAATGGTGTTATACATTTAATTTATAATATTTTTAGAAAATATTAAAATTGGCAAGTTGACCTTAACTTTGGACAGTGACAAAAGTAAAAGGCATACCATATACAAGGAAACCCAACAAAATATAAAGCAATACTTTGACATGCTTGTGATGAGGAAAGGAAAAAGGGAGCTCTTGTTGGAAAAACCATTTCCATTTATAAATTACTCTAAATTTGAAACTTTATGACCAAATTCATTTTACCTTAAAAATTTGCCATGTTGGGCTTCTTTAAACTATTTGTACAGAGAGGGCTTTAAACTTTCAAATTTTTATTTGACGGATTAAAACTGTTCAAAAATTAAATGAAGTACCCTTTAGTGGGTAAGAAAGCTTTCAGACATGTAGATAAGGTCTGAAACACCCTGAATCGATTTTTGACCCTGATTTATGTTTTTGCCTCTTCTGCAATTTCAGCTGAGCCACAAAAGGTCCCTTTTACCTTTATGCATCACATATAATCATTATCCAATTAAAATAAAATGGCTAAAAAGCCAATTGAGGCCTGGAAGTACCAAAAGGGGTATGTGCCACTTTTTGTGAAACATAGTAAGGGTACAAACTGTTTTTTAATGAAAAATCTCAACAAAAAAAATGGAACAATACCCCCTTTGGTACTTCCTACGCCTAAATATTTTTTTGCACTAGAACGGTTGTGTTCCGTAATTTACTGCCATTACTATCAGTAATTTTACTGTCAGTAGCGAAAAAAGACCGTTCCGTAATTTATTCGGTACTGACGCAATACTAAAATTGGAACGCGCCTCAGTAGCAGCAGAAAGTGACAATGGTTACGCAAGGTTATGATTTGTGATTTACTGACAATAATTGACAAACTTTACTTTCAGCACAGCAGAGAACATAAATAAAAAATAAATATAACAGTTATAAGAAATATAATGTTTGGTGTATGGCAGAGAAATATGGAAAATTTTAGTAATGTTATCGTCGTCCGCGTCGAAAAATGTATATAGGAATAGGAAATATAAAATTTCACTGACACCACAACAATACACCAAATACCAAAAATTACTCTTAAATTCGTCCGTAGTTTCGTTCGTAGTTTCATATTCTGGGTTGGGGAGTACGCATACGAAGACCCAGAATATGAAACTACGGACGAATTTAAGAGTAATTTTTGGTATTTGGTGTATTGTTGTGGTGTCAGTGAAATTTTATATTTCCTATTCCTATATAAATTATATTATAATTTATATCCTTCACTTTATTTGACAGCTATTTTTTGTTTAAAAGTTTGGTTATGTGTTTTACTGGAGCCACAGCACCTCTCTGTCACCAGTTGTTTCAGTAAAATTAATCTGCTGTACATTTATAAAAGGGTAGTATTAACCACTGAGCTCAGTAACTGAAAGTGGATTTCGGAATGCGTTTTCAGTACTGACAGTACTGATAGTAAATTACGGAATACAAGCAACATTGAAAGAAAACGTCAATTTTTTTTTCCAACTGCCACAGTGACAGTTGCTGTCTAACCCCACTTTTTAACAACATAACCTTGAAATATGTGGACTAGCGGTATCACTTAAAACTGCTTTGTTAGTCAAATCATAGTAAAATATTAATCAAATAAATAAATAATAACGAGTGACAGTTATTTTCCTCCTCCAAGCATGGATTTGTAATCTAAGACCAAAAATTAAGTTTAGCTGTGATATATTTATTTTTTAAAAATTCATCTTACAACAAAATTCAACAATTCTTCTTGAGATTGTAAATAAGAAATTTTAAGTCAAAAACAATAAAAACTAAATGATATAAAAAGAATTTCTTTTGACAGTCAATTTATAAAAAAATGGCATATATGCCCATGTATTCTATAATAATTATTGTAATAGTAATTTCATTATCAATTTTTAATTAAACTGTTTTTAGAAACCAAATTACACGCTCAAGTTCACATTAGCTGGACATACTAAGGCAGTCTCCTCAGTCAAATTCAGCCCCAATGGGGAATGGTTAGCCAGTTCCTGTATGTTGGTTCAAAATTATTTTTTTATTTTTTTCTGATGGAAGTTTATTTTTAGCTGCTGATAAACTAATTAAGATATGGGGAGCTTATGATGGCAAATTTGAGAAAACTATTTCAGGACATAAATTAGGAATAAGTGATGTAGCATGGTCTAGTGATAGTAGATTATTAGGTAAGGAAATCAAAACTACTATGAAGAGTTAAAACAAAATTAAATTTATTATACTTAAAAAATTTGAACATTTATTGTTTAACTTAGGATATCTAGTATCTGCAAGGAACAGGTTAATTTTTCTTTTAACAATTTTAACCTGTAACTGGTGAGGTCGCTTTTTTGTTAGATAACTGGTGAGGTGGGGTTAACCAAACCCTAAATGAAAACAGCGATTCTGCGAAATCAAATAAACGCGTATGTTATTTAATTTTTCGTAACCTTTATTGATTATAATGCGTACATACTTTTAGAAATAATATAATTTTACTGTGGGACTCCACAAAATCACTTCAAAACCTATTTTTAATTGCCATTAGTAATCAAATTGAAAATATAGAATAAAAAAACTACAAAATATAAAAACACATTTCTAAAATTTCTTAAAAAACAAAGGAACAAAGTTTTAACAAAATCGTATTTCTAGTAAACTCTAGTAAAAAAAACTGTTGAGGTGGGGTTACGCAAACCCCAATTCGTACAAAAATATATCGTACACCAAGTAAAATATCGGGCTTTTTTGACACCGGAAGTGTACTGACCGAAAACTACACAGGGGGTAGCGAGCCTCGCACTATTATTTAACGACTTGTCTAATCGTCCGATCATCGGATGAATAAAATATATTAATCGTCCGAACATACGGACGACTAATATATATTATTCGTCCGGTAATAACATAACGTTAGTTACGTCATAATTATAATTCGCTTTTGTTCACCGACCGTTTAATATTTGACAACAAGCTAGATAGCTTATATGGTAGGGCGTTCGCTTGTCATGCGAGAGGTCCCGGGTTCGATACTAAGAAGCTGTCAAATTTTTTTTATTTTTTTATTTCATAAATTTGTTGTTTCTTTGTTAAACAGTGTTCAGTTGGGTTGGGTTGGTTGGTTTGTTTTAGTTTTATCGTAACATAAAATCTACTAGAAGTTGTCGAACTTTTTTTATTTCATAAATTTGTTGTTGCTTTGTTAAAAAGTGTTTTATTTTTATCGTAACATAAATTTGCCCATTTTAGTTGGGTTTTTTGTTCAATGGGGCGGGGGGGGGGCAATGGGGGCGGGGTCGGTTGGGTTGTGTTGTTGAGTTTGAGTCCGATAATCTTTTTATTATTTATTTATGTTATTACCGGACGATTAATATATTTTATTCGTCCGATTATACGGACGACTAGCAACGGCCTTTCGACTTGTCTAATCGTCCGATCATCGGATGAATAAAATATATTAATCGTCCGAATATACGGACGATTAATATATTTTATTCATCCGATGATCGGACGACTAGCAACGGCCTTTCGACTTGTCTAATCGTCCGATCATCGGATGAATAAAATATATTAATCGTCCGAATATACGGACGACTAGCAACGGCCATTATTTAATATGTGGTAAAGATTCTAAGAAAAATTTATGTGGACCTATTTCATCCATAACTTTTTTCATTTCAGAATAAATATATTTAGCGTCATGCTTTTCAGCTTTGGTATCTAAACATTTATAAACTACAGGAGTTGGTGTATTAATAACGAAAATTTATTCCCTCATGCCTAATGTTTGACCAACCATCGCATTGTAGAGTTAGGGAAACGGCTTCGTGTATTTTAATATCTATGTTGGCTTTGATTCTTAAAAATTCAGAATCTAACAGTCTGTTTGACAGAACGCACCTTGTTGGGAGATCCAAAGATGGTCTAATGCGTTTAAAAGCCTCTATAAACTCTTCTTCAAATATGCCTAGGCTAATGGTACCACAAGAAAATACAGCTCTTGCAAGCAACTCCCAGATTTTTTCCTAAAACAAAATATGTGTCATCTAATGGGTGTTATAATTAGCTACAATAATTTTATTTATATTGCAATAGTAATATTATATTCGTAATATAATTCCAACAAGACTTCCACTAAAACATTCAAACTTTTGGTTTGCAAAATTACAAAAAAATAGCAGTACTAACCTTATCTAACATCAACAAAGCTAAGCAAGAAACCATAGGAACCTTCATTTTGTATTTTTCGCCTTTTTGCATAAGATTCAGAACAGAGTGTACTGCCTGTACTTGTACTCCCGGTTATGGATAATAAACCAGATGATGAAGTCGACGCAGAAACAGAAAACAAATTATTTTCAATAAGGCTTGAGGCTCCTACACAGGATTTTTCTTTTATTTTGGACGTTTTATTTTCCTTCACCTTTACGCTATCTGGAGCATTTCGTCACTTATTTATATGCTTTTGCATTCTTGTTACATTTAGGTTATAACATTACCCACAAAATTTGCAAACATATTTAGTAGTATTATTATTTTCACATTAAAAATTTCTCAGACTTTTGATTTAACACGCATTTTATTAAGATTTAACAGCAAAAATTAAAAATTCAAATTTTAACCACCGTATAGAAATAAATCAAATAAAGCAACCTATACAGGGTGTCCGGGAAAAGGAGGTCAATCCGTTAACTATATATTCCTTGAGTTAAAACAATAAGACTTTCATAATACCATTTTTTAATTTAGAGCTTCATGTTCGATATACAGGGCGACAAAGTTTGAAATTTAAAACTGATTTTTTTTTAATAATTCGAGTAATTGATAAGATACTAAGTTTAAATTCGGTACACTACTTCAACATAAATAGTTACATTTTTTGAGACTAACAAAACAAAAAACAATTGTCAAATAATCAAAATAGGGGGTCCAGTACTCACTGACTCCCTCTATTTTTTAGTACGTGCGCCAATGACTTCCAAACGGTATTTTTTCAGGTAATCATTTATTGTTAAAAAAAATTTGTCTCTTATAAAATTTTGATAAAATGATTTGTTTTAGAGATAATTTGTAAAGTATGGGTCAGTTCATATCAAATCAACCAAAGGTTCTTCCCCCACCATCTCCGATTTTGATCATTTTTGGTAAATTTGTTTACCTCACTAAAAAACTCAAAAATCCCATATATGAATTTTTTTCGATAGGTGGTTTTTGTTTTATTGATTTTTGAAAATCAAAAAATTCCGATAAATTTGGGTCTTGCAAGTACTTACAAAAATAGCGATATCTCGTAAACTATTAAAAGTAGAAAGGTGAGTGATGGCTTATTTTAATTTTAAAAATAGGGGGAGTCAGTGAGTACTGGACCCCCCTATTTTGATTATTTGACAATTGTTTTTTGTTTTGTTGGTCTCAAAAAATGTAACTATTTATGTTGAAGTAGTGTACCGAATTTAAACTTAGTATCTTATCAATTACTCGAATTATTTAAAAAAATCAGTTTTTAAGGGGGGGGTAAGGTATTAAAATTTTTTTTTTTTCGATTTTTTTTTTATTTTTCTAATCGAATGCATAATATCTCAAGAAGATTGTGTTAAAATTTCAAGTCGATCGGGGCAAAATTGACGAAGTTATGAGTATTTCAGCGTCCGTTGCCAGCCTGAGGTTTTATACCTGAGCGACAGCTGCGCGACGGCCGGACGCTGACTCATCCGGCCCAAACAGGCCTGTTCAGGTAAAGTCGAGTATATTCTGCTCTAGATCATCTTGATGGAAGCCTTTTGCTCTACGGACCTGGCATCGACGACTCTGTGTGAGTATAAAAAAATTGTCGAATTTTATCTTGAATACTTCAGTACGCAAAACTTTAAAGCGTTTTTCTGAGACTTGTCATTTTTGAAGTCCGTGCCCACCATAACTAAAAATCTACTGGACCAATCGTTTTGAAATTTTGCACAGTGTTTCTTCACATAATTCCCCAGGTATTGTCGAGAGCTTTTTTTTTTTTTTCAATAATTATCAATTTTACAACAGCAAATTAGCCGTTTTTTTTAGCGAAAATCTGGTTTTTGGCTTCCAAGTGCTACGAAAAATCGAAAAAAAAAAAAATCCTCTCGTGAATACCTCGACAAACATCTCCTTTAACGAATGCATTTTGATTTTTTTGTTTCTGATGATTTGGCTGCGAGTTATGATGGGCACCGCTTTTTCTCGAGGCGCCTCCGGAGATTCACTGTCACTCGCTCAATTTTTGATATTTTGCAATGAAAATTTAGGAGAATATTGTTCTAATGTTACATTATCATGTATGGATCGACTGAATAAACTAACACCATCTGTATTGCCAAAAAAAAATCTTGAAAACATGCCTTTTTTTTACCGAATTAACCTTACCCCCCCCTTAATTTCAAACTTTGTCGCCCTGTATATCGAACATGAAGCTCTAAATTAAAAAATGGTATTATGAAAGTCTTATTGTTTTAACTCAAGGAATATATGGTTAACGGATTGACCTCCTTTTCCCGGACACCCTGTATAACCTGTTTAGCTGTTGGTACTTCCCTTGATTGGCCCAACGTCTAAATCGCAATCGGGGAGTTACCTACTCCTATAGTATACTAATCCCACTATCACTGCCATCTGCCAGAAAACAATGCAACTAGGTAAAGAAAATGAATAAATCCAAGCGCGTTATCGATTCGGGGCGAGATGGCGAAATCATTTTTGAAAATTACCGGTAAAAAAATTTGCCGGGTTAAATTACCAAAATTACCGTTACCGAGGTAACGTTACCGCACTTTAATCACTGGGTGTGGAGCATCACAAAGTAGTAATAAATAAAATTTATACGTTTACCGCTTATGTTTAAGTGTTAAAAATAAATAAATCTTTATAGTATCACAATAACAATGGTTGGTTTAAAAATTTAGGGTTATTAATACTGCATTTAATGAAATTCTAAAGTGTATATTGACATAAGTAACATTTTTTTGTATTTAGTCAACATATCTGGTTTTCTCCATAAAAAAGGTTAAACTAAACGGCATTTGTTAAAAAAAATCTAGCTACATATAAATATGATTTCTTTTGTTGACTATTCTTTGACACATACATAACCTGAAATTGCTAAATTTTTAAAGGACTGCGTTCAGTATGTGGTGGGACTTTAGTGGAGCATAGTACTCACCCACCACATGACTTTGATACAAATAATTAAGGGTAGTTATATGTAATTTTCGAGATAATTTTGTCACAGAAAGTAATGAAATACCTGTATTTTTTGTTCTAAATTAAAACCTTTATACAAAAAAATACTTATTATTAATTCTTTAAACAAAGATATTATTATTTAAAATAGTAATAACACTGGTTTACAAATTAATAAAAAATGCAGGTCAATAGCCTATTGGTTCCCCAAGTGTTTTATGGTTTAAGGTTTTCAAGATAAGATTTTTTAATTTTTCAAGTTGGCTTAACAATTTGGGTCATATCTCAAGTTAGAAACTGCCAACCTGGTTGCAAACTAAACATAATTAAACTGCCAAGTTGGCAGTGCCAACCAATATCACTGTCTTAATGCCCAATCACTTAAGCAGGCCAAAATACATTAGAAAATAATAGTGTTATAATAATTATTAGTCTTATTACTATTACTTCTTTAATTAGTATCATTCTTTTTTTTTCGTGTGGATTCCGATAAAATTCGATAGATTTAAATGTATGTGTATTTTTCATTAAAAAATTGCATAACACGTAAATAGAATATTCATTAAAAGTAAAAATATCAAACAAAAAACAACAATAAGTATAATAAAAAAAATATATACATAAACAAGACAATTATAACAAATTAAAAAAATTCGCAAATCTTATTTGAGTAGTTTAATTTAGGCAAGAACATAAACGTGCCAGATATAACAATCTAATAACAAATTATGTACCATGGAAGTTATATTTTTTAAATTATGCGTATTTTCTTCCAAACTTTGATGTTCACTAAAATTTAGCTAATGTAAAATAGTTACCCGTACCTACTGTTAATGCCATACAAACCTTCACAGTGTGATTGCCCTTAATTTGATTTAAAACAAAATCTAAATTGTGAAATTTTAGTGTCTGCTAGTGATGATAAAACTTTAAAAATATGGGAATTATCCTCTGGAAAATGTTTAAAAACACTTAAGGGCCATAGTAATTACGTATTTTGTTGTAACTTCAACCCTCAGTCAAACTTAATTGTGTCTGGTTCCTTTGATGAATCTGTCAGAATTTGGGATGTTAGAACTGGTAAATGTTTAAAAACATTACCTGCCCATTCAGATCCTGTTAGTGCCGTACATTTTAATAGGGATGGATCCCTTATTGTAAGCAGTAGCTATGATGGGCTATGGTAAATTATCTTTATACATTAGTTTTATTCCTTATTGTTTTATATATAAATTTTAGCCGAATATGGGATACCGCTTCCGGTCAGTGTTTAAAAACATTGATTGATGATGATAATCCACCAGTATCTTTTGTAAAATTTTCGCCAAATGGAAAATATATTCTTGCAGCCACATTAGATAACACACTTAAATTATGGGATTATGCAAAGGGCAAATGTTTAAAAACGTACTCTGGTCATAAAAACGAAAAATATTGTATTTTTGCCAATTTTTCTGTGACAGGTGGTAAATGGATTGTCAGTGGTTCTGAAGATAATATGGTTTATATTTGGAATCTACAAACTAAAGAAATTGTACAAAAACTACAAGGACATACAGGTATTGTTTTCATAATTAATGCTTATAATTATTACATTATTATTATATTTTGTTATAGATGTGGTCCTCTGTACAACTTGTCATCCAACAGAAAACATTATCGCCTCAGCAGCTTTGGAAAACGACAAAACCATAAAGCTTTGGAAAAGTGACACCTAGGTATCTAGTATTATTTTTAAAAGGATTGACTATTTTTGTACATTTACATAGAAATGTACATAAGTTTGTTTACAATATTTAAGTTAAAAGTTTATTTGGTGATGCATCCACAAAAAACTAATAAATCATCATAACACAGTAATATCTAATTTGGCTTAATAATTACAGCAAAATTACCGTTTATATTTTAACTATTGTAAAAAAATTAAAATGAAAACTTAATTACCTACGTTAATTTATTTTTTTCGACAATGTATATATTTTTCAAAAAATATTTTTTATAGATTTAAATGTTAATATAAAAGATACCATTAAATGTGTATATTTATTTATCTACTTCCATTAAATAATATATTTTTTTTCGTGAATGATAAACATTATAAATTCCCTGCCTAACAACGGTAATAATGAACTCATTATTGACGTCGTTAGGCATCATTGATTGGCCGATTTCAATATTTACTGTGATCCCCTCCTGTAATGTGCTATACCCAAAAAGAATCTATACTTTGATGTCCACAATCATCAAGTACTATACCAAACAAAAAGTATCAAATAATGGTATTAACTTGGAAGGGAATTGTAAATCTAATATCACAATTAAAAAAAACCTTAAGGCAGTTAATTTAATGGGGCAATAAGAACAAACAGTTTTCAAAAGTTGAAATTTAAACTTGGTGCACGCAAACTTGGATTTAACTTTGTTCCATTTTTTACCAACAAAAAGGTTTAGGCACAGTCTAATTACCCATGACTATAAGCTATTCTGCCGTGCTTAATGAAAACGCCGTAACCAACAATTTTGCGATTTTTTTGTTTACGGCATTTTCTACTAGAACAATTCATCCTGCGTCTATCCCCGGTACTTAAAAAACCGTATATATATATATATATATATATATATATATACGGTTAAGGGTAATCAACAATATGTTATATAACATCTCCTTTATGTCCTTTAAGTTTTTTTATATCTTGGTTATTTTTAGTGTTATTAAAATTCACACTATTTCACTCAAATAATTTCCTGAAATCAGGTAAATTTGTTTAACTACACTAAATTTAAGTAAAAATTGTGTAAATTTTAAAAACAAAATTAAATCACGAAAACTAGGTCAAATATTTTTGCCAGTCGCTTTACATTCAAGTTGAGGAAGTTTCAATGTATCTAAAAATCTATAATTGTGTGGAATTTAAAGTTTTCTGCGGTTCTGATTTCATGAACACTGATTTTTCACTTCATTTTGCACGTATTTTTGTCGTAAGTTTCTATAACTAGAATATTTATTTAATCCAAACTGATATTTCTCCAACCAGTACCGTTTGTTCCCTCGTTAAGGGCAGTCAATGATAGACCGCTTCTAAAAATGTATGGCATAACCACTTAAAGGCAACCAAAGACTCGCAGTTCAAACCTAAAGTGCAGTAATATATTGCGAAATATTACGGATACAGATAAGTGTGACAGTCACACTGTGACTTATATATACCTGAAGACCGTAGGAAATAAAAGCGGAACAAGGGACTAAGGGACTCCTACTGTAGGAGTCCCTGTAACAGAGGTTGATAAGTACATTTAATATCGTATGACCAATTGCAACACATAAAATTTTAATTAAATAACGTAATTCAGTCAACGCCAGAATCTAAACCTTAGGGGTTTTCTATGATCTAAAGCAAAGCACTTAAGCACGTTGAAATTTATAAATAAACACTTTCGCCTACAAAGCTTGTTTACAAAGGTTATAAATTAAGTACCTAACCAAAGTGGCCTCCTCCACAAAGGGCGTATTATCTTTTAGACGAACGCACAGTGGAGTAAAATAAACGGTGCATCGGTTCCTAATTTAAGTAAGTAAGGCAATTATGGCTGAATCTTCTCTGAAGTCAGACATGTAATGAGCAGTTAAAAAGTAAAATAACCTTAGGTTAGGGGGTGAAAGGGGGCAAAACAATGCAGCGGGGGGGGGGGGGCAAAATGGGGTACCCAAAAATTTCGTAAGATTGTTGTTTTCGGTTTCTAAATTATTTGAAAATTGACTCACAAGTTCACGCTTTTAATCGAAAATAATTATTCTGAGCCTTTAGAGAGAGAAAAAGGGTGGTACAATTTTGGAAAACATTTCATATGCTCAATTTTTTGGGTACCCCATTTTGCCTCCCCCCGCTGCTTGTTTTGCCCCCTTTTACCTCCTGTCTGCTACCATAAAATTAAAAAAAAACAGAAAATTTGATGTTATCAAACTTTGACTTCGAATAACTCTAGAAGAAATCAATTTATCGAAAAATAACACTGTGCAACACCAAAAATCAAACCGCACCGGACTATTTTTTTCTGAAAATATACCTATCCAATAGTAAAACCCTCGCTGGGTTTCTAAAAGTTAGCTCGATTTATTTTTTTATGGCCGTTTGTATTTTCTAGCTTCATATACCCCAATTTAGACTTATTAATCGATTTTTTTCGCATATATTTGATTTATATCGTCAAGATTTTTTGTAGAAATGTAGTTACTGAACAAATAAACCCATTTTGTGAACAATCTATATCCCAAAATATTCGAAAAATATTTTTTTTTAAATTTTTCGATAATATTTAAAATTTCTTGCTAGGTACTTCTTCTGGCAAAAATGTTGTAAAGTATACTAAAAGAAGTAATTTATAAAATACGCACACAAAACTGAACTTTAAGTTTACTTATTTGCTTGAAAACAATTTTTAAACAAGATTTTCCAAAATATTCATCTTTTCATACTCAACACCAAATTTTTTGCCGAAATCTTTAAAAATCTGTAGAAAAAACTTGAATAGATATAATAGAATTGTAGAAAAGTACAGAGAGTTTGATTTTTTATTTTGTATTAATTTTATTATTAAAAAACTTTTTTATATCAAAACATCTGATTAATTTCTGGAGAATTCCATCCCTTCCACTTCTTCTCCTTTATTTTCTTGTTCTTCATTTTCATTCTTCACTGGAGAATTCCATCCCTTCATTTCATATATTTTTTATATTCATTTCATTTCAGGCGTTTTAAATGATCCTGATATTCGGAAATTGGTAAAGTATGAAGACTTTGACAGGGCCTTGGTTGACAATGAGTTTCGTGGGCGTCGATAAGAGAAATCATCCTAGGACTTTTAGGCAAACATCGTTCTCCCAATTATGAAGGATCTGTGGGACGAATGTTGGATGTTTTTTTCCAAAATTGGAGTCAATATGTCGCTAAAAATTCATTTCCCTCATCGCCATTTGGACTACTTCAGTCGACAGTTATTGACACAATTATCAAACTGCGATGCCATTTGAGTCCAGATAAAGAGGAAAACGAGCTCCAGATACCATACTAGCCGAAACATTTTGCTGAAGTAAACATATTTTTGACTACGATCAGGAAGAAAATGAAAATGAAGAGCAAGAAAATAAAGGAGAAGAAGTGGAAGGGATGAAATTCTCTAGTGATGAATCAAAAAATGAAAATGAAGAGCAAGGAAATAAAGGAGAAGAAGTGGAAGGGATGGAATTCTTCAGCAATGAATCAGATTACTCAATGTTTTGATATAAAAAAGTTTTTTAATAATAAAATTAATACAAAATAAAAAATCAAACTCTCTGTACTTTTCTAGAATTATATTTTATCTATTCAATTTTTTCCTAAAGATTTTTGGCAAAATATTTGGTGTTGAGTGTGAAAAGATGAATATTTTGGAAAATCTTGTTTAAACATTATTTTCCAGCAAATAAGCAAACTTAAAGTTCAGTTTTGTGTGCGTATTTTATAAATTACTTCTTTTAGTATACTTTACAACATTTTTGCCAGAATAAGTAGCAAGAAATTTTAAATATTATCAAAAAATTTAAAAAAAAAAATTATTTTTGAATATTTTGTCCCAAAAATTGGGTTTTTGGGATAAAGGTTGTTCACAAAATGGGTTTATTTGTGCAGTATCTACATTTATACAAAAAATCTTGACGATATAAATCGAATGTATGCGAAAAAAATCGATTTATAGGTCTAAATTGGGGTATATGAAGCTCGAAAATACAAACGGCCATAAAAAAAAAATTCGAGCTAACTTTTACAAACCCAGCAAGGGTTTTGCTATTGGATAGGTATATTTTCAGAAAAAAATGGTCCGGTGCGGTTTGATTTCGATGACCCGAAAATTGTCGCACAGTGTAATAAGAGAGCTTTTTTGTAGAGCGTTACATTTTATATAAGAAACTGCATCATTGCCATAAGTTACTTTGATACAGAGGTATAAAATTCCAACCATAAAATTATTTTTTCCCATGTTAATTAAATGGGAAACTAAAATAAAAACAGCGACCTCTTAGAGTTGATCTGAGACGCTCATTTGGTGAGGATTTTTTTACATTAAATGGAAACATTTAAGAGGGTAAGAGCGAAAAAAAAAATTAAATTTTATTTTTCGAGGCACCCTAATATACATAAGTATATATAAGTATATCTCCAAAAATAATCCTACTGAAAATTGGTAAATAGTATTTACTAAATACATTTTCCAGCGTAAATTTCTCTTAGCATTAATTTGTATGCGATTTTTAATTTTAAAAAATCAGTGGTTTACCCCTTGGGCCTTAGTGGATAATTATCAACATTATCGCTTATTTTTTTATAAAATAATAATTTTATATCATAAATTATAATTAATAATAATAATAATAATAATAATTATTGTTTATAACATAATAATAATAATATTATAATATGCTTTATTAAATAGGGCTCCAAAATATCTTAATACGGTCCTATCTAAAACCTGTGTTCTTAAATGCAATGTTGCCAGCGTCTGTTTTAAGTAGGATAAATTATTATTTTTAAATAAAATCCTTTAATAATCTTTAATTTAAATATTTTTGTTCTTGTAATTTTTTAATATTACTACAAATTTAATCATTCAAAACTAATATAGAAATATAATAAAAACTAAAAAAAGAAGGCTGGCAACGTGCAAGTTTTTTTGTTTTAAGTTGGCAATGCGAACTTTGACATTCCTGTCAGTGCTGTTTACTGTGCGGTCAAAATTTTATTTAAAAATCGTTTTAATTAATATATGGTTTTAAAATGTGTGGAGGGTTTACCTGTTCGAAAAATGCCCTTATTTCTCTCAATATTCTATACATCGTAAGTGGTTGCCTATTCATAATTTTTTGTTTAAATACCTAAATATTTTTAGGTTGTCGCGTTTATATTAATTGGAGTGGCTGTTTACAGCAGAGCAGCCTCTATAGTCACCAATTTACCGATTGTTGGGGGTATTTTAGCATGTGGAATAATATTAATACTTATTTCTGTCTTGGGGGTAATGGGGGCAGTTAAACATCACCAGGTTATGCTGTTCTTTGTATCCTTATTAACAACTTATTTATGGAACATTATATCACATAAAGGAAGTGCACTTATGTAAATAAAATTATTTACATCCTTTGAGTAGGTAGAAGTTTAAATAGTTAAATTGTAATAAGCATCATGGAAATTTTACCATTGAAACATGGGAGCTGGCAGAAAATAATCCAGAGGGGGGCAAAAACAATGATGTGCAATTTTAAGTATCATGTTTAAATATTTAAATAAGCTTTATAGCCATTCTATGTTACTCCTCAATTTTTGTTGTCTAATAATAATGTCGATAATAATAGATTTACAGGTCAAAAATTGTGAGTAAAAACTGCTGTAATTATTATGATTATAAGCCTAAGCTTTATTATAATACCTATTACAATCAAAATTAACATGTTGGCAATAGTAACTATTGCAATAGTATTTAATTTAATTATAGTAGTTTTTACTCACAATTTTTGTTATTGCAGATGCTACAAAAATAGAGGAGTAGCGAGGAATGGCTTTTTTAATTTTACAGGGGAGCAACTGCCACCTCTTGCACCCCTGCCAGCACCTATGCATTGAAATGATTTTTCTTACTCTTTGTAAAACTTATAGTTTATAATAATTGGGTTTGGATAACAATGTAATTTTGTAATGTGCTTATGGAAAAAGGTTGACAATATTTTTTTTAAACAAATATGAGGTTATTTTACTTTTTAAATAACAAAATCCTTTTTCTATTTTTATTTTTTACAGGGCTTTACAAACTAGTACCTAAGGTAGATGAACAAATTTCAATATCCTCTATTTTTTAAACTCATAGTTTGTGTACCTATTGGAAATGTCTAAACTTAACTGTATAATTTCTTTTTAAAACTATGTAAACACAAAACATATTTGGAAATACAAAAAACAACTACAACTTTTACCATGAATTTAAAGCAAGACATTTAACAAATTTTGTTTTAAGTTCATCTATAATTTAATACATTTTAAAACATTTTTTTTCCTATGTAATAACAGTATATGGTAATTTTATTTTTACTTTTCCTCATCCAATTTTCTGTTGCTTGTGCTTGTTTGGGAGTAAATATAGCTCAACAGGAACAATTAGCTGAACAAGGTTGGAATAAAGTGAACAATCAAACAAAATCACATGTGCAAGAAAAATTTGGATGCTGTGGATTTCATAATGAAAACGATACTCATCCTGTTTGTAGTGTAAGTATAATAATATATTATGCATTAAGTGGGCAAAATGGTCAACTCTTTAACGTTTAAACTTGAGCTGAGTTTAAGTTAAAGCTTGAGCTTAGCTAAAGTTTAATTAACTAATTAATATCAGATGTAAATTTTGTTAAAAAACATTTAAAAGTAAAGTAAAAGGTTTTTTTTTCTATTTTAGAAACCTTGCATTACTTGCATAGAACCTGAGTGTCAATGTCCTCCATGTATGGAAAAACTACAAAGTACAATTAATTATGCATTTAAACTTTGTGGATGGATTGGTTTATTTTTTAGTTTTACAGAGGTAAGTAAATTAAATAAAAAGGTAGGTACTATTGGTTTAATAATTGCCAGTCTTATCCTAATGTAAATATTAACATGGCTATTTTTATATTTTTACATAATCCCAGTCTACAAGTGGATTGACTTTCAATAATACTATTATAGATAGTATAATTAAACAATTTATTATATAAAAACTGGCCTTTAACCTTAGACCTTGGATATAAATATTATTTTAAAACAAGAATTAAAATAGGCTTATCTTAAAAATATAATTGTTTTTACTATAAGGATGGGTACTACCCATTGGGTAGTCACTTTTACAGGGTGTCTGGAAAACCGATTTAAACCAGTTTAATTATATCTAGAGGTGCGTGGTTTAGCCGCTACGTCAATGACCTTGCACGGATATTCTTTTCAATTTTGAATACCCTTTATCTCCAAATTAAGGCGATTGCGAACATTAGTTTTAGTAAATTTTTTCCCTAAAATCATTCAATGATTGTGCCCATTCAGTATTAGCCATTGATTAAGAAACACCCAGTATAAACAGGGTGCAACAAGTTTCAATCTATGTATCTTTTTTATTTAAAGAGCTACAAGTAAATTAGGCGAAATTTACCTAATTATAAGTCTATTAAAATAGCTAAAACTTGAAAAAAATCAGTGGTTCTAAAATAATTAAAAAAAAAAACTGAAAACCTGTCAAAACCAAAGATCGTTATAACTTCGTTATTTCTGGGAATTTAAAATAAATGAGTTTTACAAACATACACATTTATCCACATTTTCATATAATTTGTGATTATTTTCGCCTGTTAGATTTTGAGATACCACCACCATCTTTGTTTTTCCTATTTTCACCATTTGGAATTTTGCATGAAAAAAAAGTATCAACTACAAAACATAGTTGCGTGGAAATGTAGAATAGTGTGTATGTTAACATGTAAAACTTACTTTGTTTCAAACTTCCCAGGAATAAATAATAAAGTTATAACGATTTTTAAAAGGTGTTTAGTTTTTTTAAATATTTTAAGAACCGCTGGCTTTTTTTACAATTTATAAATTTCATGTTAACAGGCAACTTTTCTATAATTTAATCGACCTTGTAGCTCTTCAAATAAAAAATACACATAGAAGTATACTCATAGGATACTTGGTGCACCCTGTATATATATCTATATACAGGGTGGCCGATTTATCTGAAGACATTGAAATATTTCGAAAACTACGCATCGGATCAAAAAAAGTTTTGAATAAAATTTGTTCGCCTGGAAGGGGGACATCCAATGATACCAAAGTCAACCCCTCACCACCACCCCATGGGGTGGGGGTGGGGGCAACTTTAATATTCTAAATAGGAACCCCCATTTTTTATTGCAGATTCGGATTTACTATTAAAAAATAAGTAACTTTTATGGAAAAACTTTTTTTAAATTCCTGATAGATGGCGCTGTAATCGCAAGAAACCCGATTTTTGGGAATATCTTAAAAAATTACACATCGGATCGAAAAAAAGAAAAACTTGTTTAATTTTTGGATTTTATTCGTATATCAATAAGTTAACATCTATTTTTAAAATTACCCAAGAATGGGAAATCCGAATCTGCAATTTTTCAAGATATTCCCAAAAATCGCGATTACAGCGCCATCTATCAGGAATTTAAAAAAAGTTTTTCCATAAAAGTTACTTATTTTTTAATAGTAAATCCGAATCTGCAATAAAAAATGGGGGGTTCCTATTTAGAATATTAAAGTTGCCCCCACCCCCACCCCATGGGGTGGTGGTGAGGGGTCGACTTTGGTATCATTGGATGTCCCCCTTCCAGGCGAACAAATTTTATTCAAAACTTTTTTTGATCCGATGCATAGTTTTCGAAATATTTCAATGTCTTCAGATAAATCGGCCACCCTGTATATATTAGGGTGTCCCTTATTTTTATTTTTTTTACGCATACCCTCTAATTATATTTATTACGTGTTTATATACTCCCAGTAAAAATTTCAGCTCATTCTATAAACGGGAACCCGTGCCGACTTGCATCTGAACCCTCCGTTAGCCAACGTTAGTCGCGCGGTATTTTGTAACACGGTTGGTCGCGAGGTCTTCGATCGTAAGTCATTTTGTGTTTGTTATCATGTGACCCTTATATTATAAATTATTGACAAATGTTAAAATATAGTTTTATTTATGTGTATACTTTGATAAAAATGTATATTTTCACAGGGAGTGGCTAGTTACCCGGAAGGGTCTGGTGAATAGGCCGTAAACTCTAAAATTGATAAACTTAATGGGTTTTACTCTAAATAAATAAAAGAGTCTATTATGAGAGATGACTACCGAAAACTTATTGAACTGTCTGAAATATTAATTATATTAATATATTTTAGGGATAAAATCAACTAAGTAAGTGAAACAAATGATAGAAACCAAAGCAATAATATTAATTAGTAATCATATTTAATAAAATCATTAGAAAAATACAGTCATGAAGTATATCTTCTTTTTAAAGTGTTTCGTGTTACAAAATACCGCGCGCCTAACGTTGGCTAACGGAGGGTTCAGATGCAAGTCGGCACGGGTTCCCGTTTATAGAATAAGCTGATATAAACAAGTAATAAATATAATTAGAGGGTATGCGTAAAAAAAATAAAAATAAGGGACACCCTAATATATATATATATATATATATATATATAAATATATATAAATATATATATTTATATAATATAAAGGTTATTTAAAAGAGTTTACGTAGGAGTCATTTCCTACACTATTTTTATATATAAAAAAATTAAATATCTCTCGGCAAAACAAAGCAACTTCGAATATAGATACGTCAATTTGAATTGGCTTAATTGGCTTATCTTGACACATTTATAAAATAACTGAATAGTAAGATTTTGTACACTTCTTAAAAAATCCATGTAAAAAAATTAAAACTATTAATAACTATTTATTTATTAATTATGATTTATCGCTTTAGATAACTTAAGGGAGCATCAATCCATCAAGTAATAATAAAACATAAGATGGATGTAATCATTAAACCTATGGTACCTACATATTGTACATTACAAAGATTTCAGGTGGTAAATTGGTCGCATGTTCCAGAAAAAAAAACTAATGTAAGCGAATCGATGTATATTTTGGGTTTTTGTGCATGTTTCAGTTTATGGGAGTGTTGTTAACAGTGCGCTATCGCAACCAGAAAGACCCTCGAGCTAACCCAAGTGCTTTCCTATAGTCCAATAACCAAATTAACAGTGACAGCATTGAGATGGGTGGGTTAATACATTAATTGCTTGTAGTAAATATTGAAACCAGTTATGCAAAGTGAACAACCTAAATTTTAAAGAAATTCTAACGCATGACCTCAAAAAATTGCCTGGTTGTAAAGTAAATTTAATTTTTAAAATCGATTTATACATTTAACAATATTTGGGTGGGATGTAGCTCTTTGCATAACTGGTTTGAATTGCATGATTATTATCTGAGGTATTGCTTATATTTTGACGTTTTTATGTTAAATACAAAATTGGCTGCCCAAAGGGTAAATGTTAAATACCTTTTAAAATTCCAAGGCGAGTTTTCCTTTTTTTCGAATTCGCATTTTTTAGGAGTTTTAAAGGCGCCAATAAGACCGAAGTAATCTTGGTTCCCTACCTACATTTGGACAAACACGTCGATCTTCGACTGCGCTCTCATTGGCGGCTTTAACTCTATACCTATTGGAATGTCGAGAGGAAATTAATAAAAAAAAATTTTGATATTCTACTGGGTGTAAAATAGCGCCCTGTGCTATACTAAACTATTATATTTGTTTATAACTTTTAATAAAAAAGTTTAAATTTCCTAAATATAGCAAAGTAATAATGATTTCCATTTTTAAACTCGCATGAGACACACACATGTGTATTACATAGTGTTCTCGAGTTGTTTTAAAACTAATATTTATTTGAAATATAAATATTTTTGAAACTATTTTAAATATAAATTTAAAAAACCCATTTGACAATTTTTAAGTTTAAACATATACAGAAAATGCGTTTATGGTAAGAAAAATACATTAGAACAGCCTATTTATTTAAATTAAATGTAAATTGTAAAGGCTATTCTTAAATTAAAAGTATTTTAATCAGATTTTTAATAAAACTAATTTTTCGTATCAAAACTTTTTTATTTTTCATTTTTTGAGATAAGTCCATATAAAAGTTTTTGCTTATTTAGAAATGACAAATTCAGTTTATACTTTTACCAATTTCCCCTCAGTCTCAGAGATGCATCGAAAAATCTGTGGGTAAAAGGCATAAGGGGATAAGTCAAAAAAGCAATTTCTCAATAGATTCTTTAACGTGTTCGCATAAATTCAGGAAATATATTTATGTTTAGCGGGTATACGCTTTTGTTAGCATATGGAATGTGATAACAAATGGGTATACCTAACCATAAATATGTTTCCTGAATTAATGCGCACACGTTAAAGGCTTTTTTGACTTATTTCCTTATGCCCTTTACCCACAAAAATATGAAAATATCGATGGGGATTTGACAAAACATCGTAAGCGACAAAACCTAAATTTTACAGGAGAGATCTTTTTGTGTGGTAGCTATATTTTTAAAGTTATTTATCTGAAAACTGGTGAGGCATTATTTTATTAATGTAGAATTCAAATATTTAAGTAAGATCGAATCCAATCTAAAATTTTCATTAAATTTTGTGGCATACGATATTTTATAAGAACATCTTTAGGAAAATGTAAAATTAGTCTTGTCGCTTAAGTTACGTTACTTTGTGGGATATAGATTTGATGATTACTTTTGTTAAAACATCGTTAGCGACATTTATTTTTTTACTTTTATTATTAAATAAAAAAAATTACAAAAAAATTAATAAATAAAATATCACCAACGATATTTTGCCAAACAATGTTTGAAAATGAAATTCTACATTAGCTTTCTTTGAAAAAAACGAACGATTTTTATTCTCAAACCAGTATCTAACCCATGGAGCCTACACAAGGAGCCCGAACTTAATAGGGGAATTCCCCAATTTAAATTGACAAAACCTGCCCTCTAAATTGTACAAATTAATTTTCTTTTTTTCACCACCAGCGGCGCTGATTGTCGATCTAGCGTTTCTGTACAAATTAAACAATTGTTTCATAAACGGAACACCAGCGCCCTCTTATCTTAGGAAGATTATTGTTTACATGATGATCAGACTCCTTGGGTAGGCTCCATGATCTAACCCATGGTACCATGATTATAAATTTGAGTCAAATTATTTGACGCTAGAACAACATAAACAATTATTATTATTATGATAACTATTAATAATGCAATGAAAAAAGGAATTATAAGCTTTTGATCAAATAAAATATTGTTTTAAAACTTGGTAGCAATCAACAAGATGCAGGTATACTCACGAATAAACTGTTTAGAGCGAGAATAACGCCTTGATAGATCAAGGCGGGAGCAAAATATTATCGTAAGCGACACAATGTTAAATCGCAAACGCCATGTCTCGGAGTTGGTTACGATTATTTGTCGGGAACATATAGGCGCTTACGTTATAAATCGGTAACAAATTAAAAAGAAGGCGCTTAAAATAATAAAAATATTCAAACTGACCAATATTAGATTCCAAAATTGGGATAACTATTATGTTAACATGTGCGGCTTATCGTAACTGAGACTTTGATAAAATAAAAAGTAATTCAACAAAACTGTCGCTTACGATGTTTTGTCAAATAACCATCGATATGTTTACTTAGAAACTATTTCCAAGTTCAAAAAATTATAATGCGTTTTTATGGTATATCGTTTAAAATTTAAATTGGCTTTGTACCATAGAAGCGCATTATAATTTTTTGAACTTTTAAAATTAAAATGTTAAAAATATTTTTATATTTTTTGATACATCTTTGAAACTGAGGAGAAATTAGTAAAAGTATAAACTGAATTAGCCATTTTAAAACAAGAAATTTTTTTTATAAGGAATGAATTTATCTCGAAAAATGAAAAATAAAAAAGTTTTTCCTCTTATGAAGTCGAATTGGGGACATACGGTATAACCCTAACTATAAATTATCATTATAGTTTTTAAAAATAAACAATATATTTAAAAAACTAATAAAACTTCTTACATAATTTTAAATACTTGTATATAATATTTTTGTTGTTGCTTATCAACAAAAACAAGGCTTTATGTATTTTTAACCGCACTATGTCAGGTGTCCGGTATTAACAAAACACATACTGTATATTTCGTACACGGTTTTAGGTATAAATTATATTAAGTGGGTGGTAAGTAAATAGTTAAAGTTTATTAAAAATAATTTTAATTTATTTTATTTATTAACTTAAATACAAATGCTACTACTATGCATGTGTTTTCAAAGGGTTATAAAAACATGCCTCTTGCATTTAACGCAATTTAATTATAATTTTATTGTTTATGAATTTGTGCAATGTTATAGTATTTTTTAAATTCCCTTTGGGTAAACAGTTTTAAATAATTATAAAAAAAATTAGAAGATTATTATATTTTGGTAGTTTTCACTATAAAAGTATTACATTGTACAACAACAAAACAATGTCCAAAATAAGAGGACCAAAAACCATAAAAAACTGAGTATAGTTGTCTTTGAGAAATTGAATTTTGAAGTTTTCTGACGTACCTAGTGTAACGAACGGGGCAAGGGGGGCACATTAATAATAAAAAAAGAATATTAAAACCACAAAAACTACCTTTGACCAAAACACGTGATCGTCTAGTTTAAAGAAATTAATTTAGGACCCCTTTTCGTTGTGAATACGGTTCTGGATACGTAAGTACTTGAGCAATTGAAAAGATATTTAAATAGCAAAAAAAAAGTATTAAGTTAAAATAAGTTTTTTAATAACGACAATTTATACAAGAGTTAATATTATTGCTACTGTACATTAATAATATAAATAAAAACATTTGTATTTGAAAAGTATCATTGATTTAAGTTAATAAGGTAAAACCTTAAAAACCCACATATACAATACAGACATGCATATATGTCGCACATCTCAACAATATAAATAATACAACAAAATCAAAGTAATCAATATGAATATAATCAATTATATTATCATATTCCTAAGATTATTCACCTACATAAATGGTAGGCTCGGACGGTGTAGAAAAGCAAATACACATTAAAATAATTATCAATGTATAGCAACAAACAACAATAATTTGAAACAAAGTATAATTTAACTTAGGTTACAAGCAACAATAATAAATGGTATTTGTATAAATAAAATATATAAATAACAAGTGGTATAGTAGTGGACAACGGTAATGCCATTTAATTGTACAGTCATAAATAACAAATACTATCAGGTATAATCAAGTAATAAAAACATGTCAGTGCAAATCAAATATAGCAAAATAAAATGATTATCAATAATAATAAAATAAGACCATAAAACAACAACTTCATATCAATATGCCTATCTAACCATTCTTTGTCAATCTAAATTGGTTAACTGGCAAGTATTGGCAATTGGATGCGCCTGTCAAAGCAAAGCTGTATCCACCGACCACCTACCAGAACCCGTCAACAAAGTTCCCTAACTAAATAACTCATTTGATATGCAGAACTTGAAACAAAGTATCACCATATTAAATAATGAATATCAATTTATCAAATAAATAAAATAAGATAAAGTGTACAAAATAAAGTATGTAAATGTTAAATATAAATATGTAGTAAAATGTAAAATTACATTACAATATAATATGTTAAAGTAAATGTAAAATAAATATAATAATTATAACAGGCCTACCGATATAGTTCATTTGGAACGTAAGAACCTAATCTATGCTCAGACATACGTGCGGTTTTAGTAAGTCTCCCTAGTGCATCATGGGATGCTTAAAGACATCAACACGTAGGTCTACCATTAGTTATTTACAAATATCATTCTAAGTCAATCGGACTATACAAGGTGTCCCTAAACTTAGTGGCATAAATTTAGGAGCAGATTAAGCAAGTCAAAATAAGACGAAATTCTAAATAAATATTTTTCCTAATTACGTATGTTTAAAAGATACAGGGTGATAAAGTGTTAATATCAAATCAGTTTTTTTAATATAACTTCTACTATGGTAGACTTGGAAAGGTGATATTTTGCGAACGGTCACTTACTACCAAAACACATATTCACACATAATTACAATTGTTCGAGTGAACACAGTGTCGTAGAAACAGGGGTTGCTTAAGCTTATTGTCCCATAAAAACTTTG